CCCACGCCTGCTTCTCGCCCGAAAGCTGCCGCTGCGGATCCCTTAGAGAAAATGCTGTCGGGGTGTGGCGGCTTCTGGCCCCCCCGGGAGGGTGAAGCGGCGTGCTGGGGTGGAAGGTCTGCTGCTCCGGTTTGGATCGGGGTGAGGGTGACCGGAGTCAGCTATTTGTGCAGAAAGAAGGGCTCAGGCAGGTAGTCCGCGTCTTACAGGCGCCCTGACGAGGCAGCGATCCCGTTATATCCCGTTAACCAAGATTCACACCCGGATAAATCAAGGGTCTTTTTCTGTACCGTGCTAAACGACTACCCAGCAGGCAAAAAAATGTGCTGCATTGTTCCTCAGCAGCTGCGTCGTGCCCTGGTTAGACGATGGGTAGCAAAGCAGCGTGAGGGGTGGAGGTGTGTCAGGCTTCTGCTACTCTGAGAGCCGTGTCATACTGCTACGGGTGTTTTTAAAAAACTGAGAATTAACATGCTTGAACATCGTTCTTCTAGCCGTTTTCAAAAATGCCTTCAGAATTACTCAAAAATAACACTGCTTTGCGGTTTGCGTTCGTTGCTTGGGAACACCCCTTTTAAACAAGGTATTGGAAACATCAGGTCTGCTTTCCTTGTGCCAGAGGCATAGTGCAGAGAAATCACAAAGCTTCTGAATTATTTCCCTTTATTTTTTAATACAAAAGGTGTTTGTATTATCTTACAAAAGGATGGAATAATATTATATTATTTGGCAACTCGGTTACAGCACACAAATTGCAAAGCTGGATATCAGGACATTATGTGCTGTTTTGTCATGTATCTAAACCCATATACGCTCTCATCCCAAAAAAGGGAGAGGTTCGAGAAGTAACAGCAACTCTAGAACCAAATTCTCAAATGTACCTATGGCTCTTTCCCCCTTGTTTCCATACAAATTAGATATCTAAACGCCTTTGAGAACTTGGGTTGGATTTAATTCAGTTTACTTTGGTGAGCTGTGTTTGTGCTTACTCAAAGGCGGTTCTGAGCAGAGTTCTAGACTTTGTGAAGAAAAATCTCTGTATGGTTTATCGTCTTGCCTGACAGCATGCTTCATGTCTGCCAGCATGTCTGGCATGCGTATTCTTAACTTACGCTCTATGGGAAAGGATATTTTGATAATTATAGCTCTCACTTGGTTAAATACAGTGGTGCTCCTTAAATGTAAGCACCCATAAAATTCAGTACCATGAAAACAAATGAGGCATATTAAAGTTAAATAACAGTCAAGAAGCTGAAAATAATAAGTCAGTTTGCCACAGCATATAAAAGCTTTTAAAAATATTGAAGTGTGCGAGGAAGTTGGTGCCTCTAAATAGTTACAGAAAAGGCATTGCCTGCACGTCTCCCGTGGTGGGCTGGTTCTTCTGTCAGGGAGAACACTCGGCCGCTCGCGTCTTTCTGAATGTCGCATGTCATTGCAGTTGAGTAGACTGTTCACCTTCTCACCAAAGGTTTATGAATGTAATGCTGAAATTCTCCTGAGCAGGTGTTAACTGCATCCTGCCTGCAGACCTGAATTACGCCAGCTGGAGAAGCTGACAGACCTCCCAGTGAAAACTCGGTCAACATATGCGTGATTAGGTTCATCTTGAAATCCTTATTCAGTCTTCTCAAAGTCATTGGTTTGCTGTTATGTGCATTTCTTTTGTCTGATTTCTTTCTTCTGGTTTGTGAGGTGAGGCTGTGAGATACCTGTAGTAAAAATGCCGGCCGGTGCCTGGCTCGCTGCCGCGCCATGTGGGATCCCGCCTGTTGGGGCTCCCCGGCTGCGGGGGGTGGTGGGCCGCCCCCGACGGTGCTGGTGGCTTGTTTTAACCAGTTTACATGGGAGGCAGCACTAGCTGGGGGACTGAAACAGGAAAACATAACTAACCAGACAAGAAAACAAAGGGGTAGTAGTTTTAAGATTAGTAAAAAGTTGGGGCCTTATCTGTCCCCATTCCACATGCTTAATCTCTACTCCCCAGAGCCGGAGACAAGGCTGAAGGTGGTAGGAAGTCCAACAAGCTAGATTTCCCCATCGGTTTCCAAGGGGCAGTTTTCTTCTTATCCCCAGCTGAGATTGTCATGACAGCTTTTCCCTGAGCTGTGAGGTGATGTTGTGTCCGCATCGGTGCCCTGGAGATGTCGGTTTCATTTAACTGTAAGCTGTGTCTGCACACTGAGGTTACCTCTGCAACCCTACTGTGAATTGTGGACATTAATGCTTATTGTAAAATGAGGATATATATGTACAGAAGTGCTATACGTATTATTTTAAAATACTTTCCAGTTAAAATTTGAAAACTTTGAGTCAAAAGGCCAGCTAATATTAGTTCATCTGTTACTTTTCATTACTTTGCTAAGAATGTTAACTTGACTGCGTTCAGGGAACCGGAGTCCATATGAGCAAACAAAGGAAGACCTGGTACCTTCTGACCTGCAAGAAGTCTGACAAGCACGTGCATGTTCTTAACAAAGCTTGAATTCTGTAAATGGAAGAATGTGTCCACTGATTATTTAAAATTCTACTTTTTTTGTAGACTTCCTTTGTTGTTGATGAAGTCAGTAGCATCATTAAAGAGGTAAACTAACATTTTCATTTTGTCAATGTGAAAGTATAGTATGTTGTATGCTGTGTGCTAAAAAGTGTTCAGGAAAATCTGGTAACTAGTATGTAACAGATTTCTAGATAGGTTGCTATCAAAGTATAGATAATTGTTGATTTAACCAGTGTGCATACTTTAAGTAGAAATGATACCTAGCCTTAGTTGTGATATGTATTACAAATCCAAAAGATAATTAAAATAATTTCATATGCTTATGCTCCTCTCTCATTGCAGTGTATCCCTATTAGAATTTCTAGGGGGATGTTGTATGTTAAACCCTATAGAGATAGATTTTATGTTTCAGTAACATTTGGGTTTTTTATAGACTATCTGCATATCCGTGTTACTGGGTTCTTTTAAGATGCTTTTCCTCCAAAAAGAGTTCTCATTTGTTTGAAATGATTGAACTATTCTTGTTGCTAAGAAACATGAATTTCCTGTCTAGAAAATTTCCAGAGGGTTTTGTTTTTTGTGTCCAGAATTCCTCTTGTACGGTAGACTAGTGCAATCTTTTTCTTGTTGCAAAACAACCGTTTTGGTTAGACTCTGTAAATTGAATACACATGTTTTAATACGTGCTTCTGTCGCTTCTCTCTGAATCTGAAATAATTTTCTGATTTCTTTATTTTAAACAATTTCTGTGAGGAAAAAATGTATCAGTGAAAAACATGCAGCTTTAAGGTACTTTTATTTGTATCTTAAAGGGGAAACTATCCTCATAAGTAAAATGGATTATTTGGTTGAAGGCTTCTGCTCTATTAGTAACCAGCAACTACATGGGTCTTTTGTTTTGATTTGAGGTTTTGTTTCCCAAAAATGATTCTGCTGAAAAATCTGAAGTTCATTTCCATAGAAGAATCTGTGTGAATGAGCCATTGTTGCGTGTATTTTTTTCAGTCTCTTCAGGACTGTTTAAATGCAAGACCCGTTTCGTAACTCTGGCTTCAGGATATTGGGATAGGAATTACAAATAAAGAATCAAAATATCACAAAATGAAGAGAGGATGGAATCTGTGATAATTCCCCCTATGCCTGGCTCAAACTCTGACCTGCAAGTTTTTTTAATAATGGAAAACACTTCCAACAATCAGTATGGACAAGCAGTATTTAGGATTTTTTTCTGTGGGTATGGGGTCTCATCTTTAGTGCTCCATGTGGGAATGGGTTAATGGGTGCCATCAATGGATTGACAACACTGCAACTCATTTTATGTGCTTGTCGCCGTAGGCCATAGAAAGTGCGATAGGTGGCAATGCCTACCAGCACAGCAAAGTGAACCAGTGGACAACAAGTGTGGTGGAACAAACGCTAAGCCAACTCACAAAGCTGGGGAAGCCTTTCAAGTATATTGGTGAGCTCAACTTTCTCTTTTTCCGTTAAAGCTGGTACAGTCAAGTGCACTGATGGGCGGGGGAAGGTCTTGGCAAGAACCATGTCTGTAATCTGCTCATAAGCATGTATATATGCCTGTGTGTGTATGTATGTACTATGCTAGGCAAAAATGTAGCTAAGTGTTAATTAATGATAGCGATAAATTAATAAAAGCTTCTCTACTGACAAACAGTGACCTGTGTGATTATGCAAAAGAATGGTGCTGGGCTACATACAGCAAGCTCTTGCTTCTGGGACAACTCCAGTGACGGTAAGCAACACAACTGTTGGATTTTTCGGCTTGCAGCTTTAATGTTAGTCCCCTTAAGACTAGGCAGCATACTCTTCTTTTTTTCCAAGTGCTATCGTTTTGGAGTAATAGCATACACTTTGGTATTTTTTCCATTTGGCTGTGATGCTAACTCTTATATATGTGAAATGTTTAGCTGTTGTGAAAGCTTTATTCTTAGAATTCTTAATGTAAACAATTACAAGCGTGCATATAAGGGCATGCATTTAATCACTGTGACTTTCTTCTGTCTCTGAAACCCTTTTTTCTATTTGTAGGAACCTGCACTGTGAGATGGGAGAATAAGACGATGTACTGTATTGTCAGTGCCTTTGGACTTGCAATATAGTTGCCTTGGAATCATTCATCCTTCTCTTTTTCTATTCCAGCACTTGATTCCATCTGTACTCAAACTGTGAATACACTGAACAACTTCTGTTTTTAATGTACTTTTAAAGTAACTTTTTTCAAACGTAGAAATGTGAAAACATGCTGTTACATGGTTTATGTTTGTACTTAGTATTGTACCAGTGTTGCCATACTGTCTTAACGCTTCAAGAACTTCTCTTCATGGTGCTAATACTGAAATCTGCTGCAGTGCAAACACTTTCTCTGGATTTCTTTTTTAAGACCAATATAAATGAGACACCGACTTTCACACTTTGTACTTTTGGTTAGCATTAAATTATTTAAATTCATAATCATTGGTGCGACTCATTTTAACTCAACTCTTTTGTTATTTAAAAAAAAAAAAGTACCAGTTTTTTAAATTCTCTTCAAGGTAGTTGAGGTACATACCAGAATACAAAGCAGTTTCACGGTTTTCCCGAAGTCACTACAAAATTGTAAGAAAATGAGATGATGTTTATCAGAAAGTAACTTGGCTGCATTTTTGGGACCTGTTTCATCTGATTGTATGGTATTTAGGGCATGGAACGATAACAAAAATAACTGTCTTTATTGAACAAAGATAAGTTTTTCATATTCTAGAAGCGCTCAGCAAGCTATACATGGGTAATCATTCACTACTGCAGCCAATTGCATGTGTTAAGTCAGTCTTGAACCCTGCTACCTTCTACACTGATTTTGCTGATAGTGAGTGTGATGCATTCTGATAGTTGGTGAAACAGGATCCTTTCCGAAAGGGGGGAAAAAACTGCCTCAAGCGAGGTGACTAAATAAGATGTGAGGAAGTCTCCTGCCTTCAAGCATAAAGTTGCAGAGGAATAACAAGTAAAACAAGTTTTCAGCATAGGCTTGGATAAGGTTTTCTTTGTCACCTAATTAAAGAAACGGGAGCATGCTATGAATTTCAGACTGCCTCCACCAACTGCTGTGCTGCTGCTGTAAGCAGCACCTCGCTGCTAGTGAAGTGGAAGGAACTGCTTTCAAAGCAAGTCTCGGAGAGTATTCCCGGGCTAGAGTCAGCCTGAGTGACCTGCGTTTGCTTATATTTTGGAAGCCCTGTCAAACGTTTTCAGAATCTGGCTCTCAGCTACAGCTGCTTAGAATGAGATGGCTGCCGATACAACAGCACGTTGTTGTACGTAATTCTGAAACATCAAATGACAGCAGAGGATTTGTTTTTCATAGCGCTAGGTGCATGAGGGTGCTCCCTGCAATAACTCGGCGTATCCAAATGGGCTGCAGAAAACCCTGTGCTAGGCAAGGCTTTGACCCTCTTCCTTCCTATCCATTTCTGCTGTCAGGTGGGCAAAAAAGTTGTCTCTATCAGCAGGTTTGGGCTTGGTACAATAATATAGCTGTAAGGCTTATATATTTCTGCTAGCGTACCAGTTTCAAAACATCTCTGTAACCACATCTGCTTCATGACAAACCACTTTATTCCAGCATGTGTCCTAGTGAGTGCTACAGGGCTATACGGAGTGCATATACCTTATACTGAGGAGTTTATACCTCATATTTCTGTAGCAGAGAGAGTTTTAGCATGGGTTTGGCTAGAAACAGAATGCTGAGTGTTCAGTGTTGGAAATGATATACCACCTGTAAAAAGAAAATATTAAAACAAGATAGATTGAATAAAGGGCCTGAAGTAGTCATTGGGGTGAGAGAGAAACTTGTCATAAAGAGAATAAATCTTTGATCTGTGAATTGCCAAGGAAACTTTTAATCTGGATGGCCGGATACTTTATCTCCTTTTCCATCAGCATGCCAGAATAATGCTGGTAGTGTAATACCTACTCAGCTCTTTGTTTGCAGTTAAAAGAAATAGCTTTGTGCACTTTGAGTCAGTATTTACTTCTAGAAACACGTGGCTGCTTGGTCAAGCCATTCGAACGTTCCTTGTCCTTTGTTCATGTTAGTAATAGCAAATCCCTTGGTTGTTTGGTTTTTTTTTTTTGCTGTTTGTTGGTTCATGCTTGTGCCAAACTGCAGAAAAAATGTCTGAGATGCTTGTCAGTGTAAAAGCTGTATGGGAGGAAAGAACCCTGTTGCATTAAAGTTGTGCTACAGAAAGGTAGATACTGTTTTATAGATTGACATGTCAGCAAGAACCGATGCTTCCGATGTAACAGTTTTAGGACTACAGAAAGGGGGTTGGGGTTTTTTTGGGGGTGTTGGTTCCGACACCACCAACCCCCGAGTTAAAATAGGGCTTTTCTGTAAACTACTGCAGACATCGCGTATTACAATCTTGATGTACAGTTACTGATTTTTTTAAATTTGGCTTATCTTCAAACACCTGAATTTTAATCACCTTTTTCAAAGACTGCTGGCTAGCGCATCTCAGTGCCAAAGTAAAGCATTAGGGCGATGAGCTTGCAGAGTCCTTGCTCTAGGTAAGTCATTGGCTGTAAAAAAAGAAATCAGCACAAACTGTGGGCTGGAGCAGTCGGGAAGGTAATTATAAATCCAGCCTCTGTCTCCAGCTGGCTGCCACGGCTCTTCATGTGACCGCAGCTGTAGAAATCATCCGCGTGTCAGCCCTGATCTGGAGGGGAGGAGGAAGGGGGAAGTGTGTGTGGGGGGGTGTCGTCGTTTACTGTAAATGCCACAAGCGAGTGTGACCTGTCTTCCACCATTAATTAGTTTAACTGAAACCTAAAGGAAATAGGTTCAGAATTAGCCGCTGCTGGTAAAGGAGCACTGCCATCTCGGATGCTAAAGCAGGAGCAAGCTGCATATCCCTTTGCGCAGCGACGTTTACAGCCGTTTTATTCAGCACACAATGAGATTTCGGGCTCTCCATGAGCTTATACAAGGAATGGCGTCACCCCAAATGGAGGGTGACAGTGCAGCCTACCAGCTATGAGCAGACTCTTGGACGGTACAGAGCTATAAGAAGGAGGTGAATGACATCAGCATCTTCATCATCTCTAAACCTTTTTTTTTATTACAGGCCAGCGGGCTGCAGGTGGGGGCAGCCCTTCCTGGGCGTGCTGAGAGGAGGCATCATGGCGGGGTAGGTAGGGGAACTGACAGCCCTGCTGGCAAACGCAGCCGACAGCAGCGAACGTGAAGCACGCGCGTTTGCAGAAAGGTTGCTGGCATTCACCGGGGGAAGTTTTCCTGCCAGCGTGACCACAGCAGGCTTTGCAAAGGCACTGTCGAGCCATTTCGGAACGCCGGCTCCCTTTTGGGAACTGGCTAGCGTATTTCTTAGGAAAATTAGCAACCTGTCCTTCCACCTTCAAGCCCAGGCAGGATAAGCAAAAAAAAAAAAAAAAAAAAAAAACCAACCAAAACCCAACCCAAAACATAATTCCCTGGTTCATCTGTGCTGACAGAGCCTCCTGGATCCCATCCTTATGCAATTAACCCAGTTTAACTATGCATAAGAAAATACATGTGTAAGTTATGAAAATGGTACAGTTCAGACATTTGCTAGAAGGAAAAGAAAACCAAGATACCATATAAAGATATAAAACTTTATTATGAACATATTTAACAATGATTATGCACATGAAGTCTTCCAAGAAACTCAATACCCGGCTTTTGTTTGAATTATTAGTTTTCCTTCATATTCCATATTAGCATGAATTTTTCTGACATAAATAGATAATTTGCTGTCGTTAACACAATTTCTAGACACATAGAATATTTAACACATGTCCTCATGCACACTTTCTCAAAGCAGCATTTAATTACAGCTTCTTATTCAACAGCGCATTTATCTTACACATTTTTATACCATTTTGGTACACAATTCTTCCCTATTTTCATTTTACATATTTACAAACTTCTAAAAAAAAAAAAAAGTGTTACGGTAATGCAAAGGTTATTACTGGCATAAGCAAAAGGAAATGGGGGAAAAATCAGGCGACTACGGATATACAAAGCTGTCTTTTGGCTCAGAGAAAGAACGGATCAAGGCCTTTCCCAGCCGGACCCATCCTCCCATTTTCCCGTGGTATTAGAGCCAGGGCTCTGTTGCAGCAGCTGTTCCTTCCCGCTCTTAAGCCTTATGCTTCCTGTTCTTTGCCAGTCCTAGGAAAGGTCCCAACCAATTCCAACACCGACTGTATTTTTAAAGCAAATACTACAGAAAATGGTTGCCATGAACGGCTCACACACAGTGATTACCGATTTCTTGAAAGCCCCTCTTGGATCATTGTGTACATGGAAGTCTTGCAATTGTTTAATAGACGGCATCTCCTTTAGAGCAGGAACACGGCGTGCTGTGGGGCCTTTTTGCATACTTTTCTCATTTTGTACAGTTCCACTAGTGATGGAAATATTTATAGACTTTAGCAGGAACGAAAGGAAAGCCAGGCTAGTTTCTTACCCGGATCTCTTCTGTTTCACCCGCAGGTTACAATACTTTACTCAGAGGTGAATTTATGCCACCTACTCCCAAGCTGTTTATAATCCAGGTTGTAATATTTCTCAAATGCTGTCTCTGCTTTCCAATTGTGGAAATAAGAGGAGTGAAATTGAGATTTCTTGCTAGCAAAACTATTTCCTCATCTGCTTCACTGCTTTTGCCTTTTTACCGTATATTGAATTTGATGCGACAGTGCTTCAACCAAGCTTACCAGTGCACTCTAGCACTTCTGAAATACAAAACTATTTTGCATGGCAAACATCGCTTAAATATAATCTCTAAAAATTAACGAGGAAACTATTTTTGTAGTAAGATACTTATTTTAAGTACACATTTCCTATTCTTAGCTTTCCTATTTCTGCTTTGAATGTAGTGATGTAGAAAAGTTAATGCAAATGAAACAGCAAGTGAAATGGGCTGAGAACAGATTAGAAAGAAATCATCATCTCAAACGTAGATTAAAAATATTTTCTTTGGTTAACAAAATCCCAAAGCATGACACTGTATTTCAGGGTTAACTGTAACAACCAGTTCAGACTGTGATAAGAAATATTAGTATACTTTGCACATTGGTCAAATCAAACATCTCTTCAGAACAATTTAGAACAGAATTATACAATATCAGAGCCAAAAAGATCTGAATATGTAAGGATCACGTAAATATCAATTTTTGAAGCCCCGATTCCCGTACCCACTGTTACTCCAATAGCAGTCAAAAGGATTTGGGGTATGCAAAGGATGCCTAGTTGGCTCCCAAGTCTGACTCTGCAAATTCAAACAGCTGTAAGCCTCAAGGGAGAGACATCTGGGGAATGGTAAAAATGAGAACGGGCTCTCCTCTTTTAGGATACAAAGATCATCTCCCATACTTGTTAAAACAAAGTCTACAAGGAAGTGCTGAAGGTACAGCTTACT